AAACACTTCATATTTTTAAAGCTTCAAATTCAACATTTTAGAAATCTAGATATGTTTATTAATTAGTGATTATTAACACCCAGTAAACAACATTATGTCCTGTAAAAACACAATCTTTCTTCACAGCATGGAGCTGAAATCTATTATTCACTGATTCCATATGCTGAAATACACTCAAATGATCACAAATGACCTTAAGCATTAGATAAATGTAAATGAGGACAGAGTGGAAAATGTGCTTTTGATTGATATCTAAAAGACCAGGTTTGAAATCTTGACAAGGAATGAAATCCTATATAAAATAAATGGAAATCGAAAACATCCAGAATATATCACACTATGGCCAGACATACCATATGAAGGAGTCCATCCCAAGAGCTGTTGAGTGTTTGAGAGTGCTCATAGAAGATGTTTAGCACTTTCAAGGTTTGGAACCTAAAAGATTATCTCAGGCTATGTATGTGCTAGCTCTGGCAAGCAATTGTGGTAACGCACAGCTATGACTAAGCCATGTGTATTTACATCCTAATAAATGTCAATAATTTCTAGCTATGAGCTGCATGTGCCTACCCTGACTATCCTTCTAGACACACCCTAAGGGTCTGTCTGCACAGGAAAGTTATACCAGTATAAACTAAGGTGTGAAGTTAAGCTATTAAACAGTACAAACCTCTGTGTTGACACATTTATTCCAGATTAACTGCCTTTTTCCATTTAGTTTATGTCACTCTGGCCTATACTTCAGCATAGGTCATCTGGTGTTGATCTCTTTGGACACGTATGCATACATATAAAGATGGAATCTGGCCCAATCCCAAGCGAGCAGTACACTAGTATTGACTTTTCATTGTTCTACATATTCAAGATGAAGTAGTGGTACAACAAATAGAGGGAGCGTTTCTATCTGCTTTCCTTTCCTCTGTAGGGTTGGGCAGAAGAGATGGAGTCACACAAAGCATTTTATTTACATATGTAGAGATGTTCCTTTCCTCCTCCCAAAAATCTCAATGAAACTCTCCTGGAGTACTTTGCAATCTTTTCCCAAAGGTTTCTAGGGAGATAGCCTTAATGCTTTCTACAAGGTAGAATTTTTTCCCATACCATGCTGCAGTGATTTTGGCAGGCACAATTGTAATAAATAGGATAGTGGCACACAGAATTGGCTAGCTTCAGGTGGGTGCTCTATGCCTTTGTTACCCTCAAGAGTGAAATACCAGCTAAAATCACCACTCCCTGTGGACAAAGGTACAAGTACTCAGTTCACTGATCTGTTCTTGAACACAATTTGTTGGGGAAGTCAACACCACTTTTGTAAGTGGAAATCATGCCTCCCTGATCTACTGAATTTCTTTGAGGGCATGTCTACACTAGGATATTATTTCAAAATAACTTATTTCAAAATAATAACTCCTGAAATAACTATTATAAAATAGTGTGTCCACATTACACAGAAGCCTTGAAATTAGTCTGATGCAGGTTCTCTTAATGTGGACGCACTACCTCGACTTAGAGCTGCAGGAAGCACTGGGGAGTAATTACTTTGATTGACTCTGGGGAGTAGTTATTTCGAAATAGCAGTAGTTGAGCATCCACATACCAGTATTTCAAAATAATTATTTTTAAATAAGCATTATTCCTCGTGGAAAGCAGGAGTTGTTATTTCAAAATACCAACCCCTTACTTCAAAATAACAGGCTTGGTAATTGGACGCTCCGCTTGTTATTTCAAAATAAGGGGGGTTATTTCAAAATAACTCCCTAGTATAGACCAGAGCTGAGAGAGGGTCAAAAACATGTGGACAAGGGAAGATATAGTATACTTGAACTTACAGAAAGCCTTTGATAAGATTCTCACCAAAGGCTCTTAAGCAAAATCAACTGTCATGAGATATGAGGGATCAGGAACTGATTAAAAGACAGGAAACAAAAGCTAGGACTAAATGGTCAGTTCTCAGAATGGAGACAGATAAATAGTGGTATCCTTCAGGTATCTGTACTGAGACCAGTGATGTTCAATATATTCACAGATTATCTGGAAAAAGGAGTGAACAGCGATGAGATAAAGTTTGGAAATGATACAAAATTGCTCAAGATAGTTAAGTCCAAAGCAGATCACAAAGAGTTACAAAAGGATCTCACAAAACTGGATGACTGCTCAACAAAACGGCAGATGAAATTCAATATTGATAAATGAAAAATAATGCACACTTGAAAATGAAATCACATTTATATCTACAAAACAATGGGGCCTAAAATTAGCTGTTACCACTCAAGAAAGAGATCTTGGAGTCACTGTTCTCTGAAAACATCTACTCAACGTTCAAAAAACATCTAGTCAAAAAACCTAACAGAATGTTAGGAAGCATTACAAATGGGCCACATAATAAGACAGTAATATCACTATATAAATCTATGGTATGCCCACACATTGTATACTGTGCAGATTTCTTGCCACCCCATCTTAAAACATATATTAGAAATGGAAAAATAGTAAAGAAAAGGGAAAAACAGTTAAGAGTATGGAAGAGCTTCCAAATGAAGAGAAATTAAGAGACTGGTACTGTTTAATCTGGAAAAGAGATAATTAAGTGGAGCTATGATGGATGTCTATAAAATCGTGAGTGGTTTGAAGAAAGGGAATAAGAAAATGTAATTTATTCCATCACACAGAAGAAGAACCAGGGGTCACTCAATTAAACTAATAGCTGGTTTAAAACAAATGAAAAGAAGTACTTCTTCACACAACACACAGTAACCTGTGGAACTCACTATCAGGAGATGTTGTGAAGGCCAAAAGTATAACTGGTTTCAAAAAAAGACTTAGATAACTTCATCCACCAATAACTATTAGTCAAGATGGTCAGGGATGCAACCACATTCTCTGGGTACCTGGAGCCCTGTTTAGACACACTGGAGTATCTTTGAGAGCCCAAGTTGGAGGCAGAGGGGTTGTTAATGTATATATTTTTTCTCTTTCTTTTGTAGTGCTCCTACCTGGGAGGTGGCATGAATCTAGGAGATTGCTGCAGCTTGAAATGCTTACTGGAGGCTAGTGGCTTGTAAAGGCCTAAGGAATGAAGCATAGCTCTTGTCCTTGAGAGAATAGAACTTTGAGTCTATTTGCTTGGAAAACAGGGAGGAGCCCTCACAAGGGTACTCCTGGACAGACTGCCGAACCTCGTGAGGAAGACCAAACTATAGAGGCCACAAACAGCACCTCATGGTGACTGATAGTCCATAGTCCTCATTGCCGAGTTGGCCAGTCTTGCCCTCCTTATGGTCCCAAATTCCTGCCTTCATTCTTCTGGGAGGAGGTCTTTAAATTCAGACAGTGAATCCCAGAGATAAAAATTGTACCTCCCTAGTATAGCCTGCTGATTGGAGATACGTAGTTGGAGACTACCATTGAGTAAACCTTCCATCCAGACAAGTCTAGTCTCTTGTCATTTTTATTTTTGGGGGTAACACTTGACTGCCCAATCTTTCCACTCATTCATTGCTAACACTACCAGAGATCCTGGGGGACGGTGCAAATAAAGGTAGTCAAATCCACTTAATAGGGCATAGTATTTCTTTTCTGCCCTCTATAGTTCAGTTAGTACCCCACAAATTATAGGTACACATGCGGAGTTAGCAAAACTACTCTATCCCGGGAGGCCATCTTGGTTACAACAATCTTGAAACCCACTGAGACGAAGGAGGGCCACTCATGTGGTCTGCTCACTAGCCTAGGTTGCCCATTGCTGCCCTACAGATCTGGCACTTGTCTTTAATATAAGACTCCCGCAGGCCCATTAGATAGCAAGTGTGCAGGTCACTAACTGCCATCACATTGCAGCAAGAGGTACATGGTTTGAAACCGGGAGACAGAGACATGCCAGGCCTATGGGTGAAAGTCCCTTGGGCTATGTCTAGACTGCAAGCCTTTCGAAAGAGAGCACCCAGGCAGTCTGGATGCTCTCTTTCGAAAAACCCCTGTTTGCATTCAAGAACACCTTTTTTCGAAAGAGCACTTTCGAAAAAAGGCATTCTTCCTCGTGCAATGAGGTTTACCGCCGTTGAAAGAAAAGCCGCGTTCTTTCGATTTAATTTCGAAAGAACGCAGCTGCAGTCTAGACGCGGGGGAAGTTTTTTTTGAAAAAAGGCTACTTTTTTCGAAAAAAACCCTGAGTCTGGACACAGCCTTGATGACAGGGAGAGCTACTAACACTACGATATACACTAATTCTAAAACTACACATACTAACTATGATAACTATACACATTATGACAAAGAAAGTCCAACCACTAGGAAAGAAAAGCCTTACCACAGCAAGAACTGGCACAGCAATGATCAAAAAGAATAATTTCCTAGGCTAAAATTTTCAATAACACCAAAGTCACTTAAGGAGTCCTACTGACTTTAAGAAGCACCAAGGCTCCTAAATTACCAATGTTTTTTTTTTGAAAATGAAGCATAAGCTCTTAAGGGATTTAAAGTATGTCACATATGGCCAAGATTAATGATATTGTACTCTTTAGGTTCAAAAATAATTGGGTTAAGATAAATATACTTTATGTACTACTATCACAATTTGAATTCATATTTTTTCCCAGAATTCTCAGCATATCTGGAAATAAACACACACATATTTGCAGTATTACTGTATTATGCATGTAGAATTCCTCTTTGCTAAGACTGATCACAGGTGAGAACAACATGCAAGTCTTTCTTTCTTTCTTTCTTTCTTTCTTTCTTTCTCTTTCACCAAGAAGCATAGATTATTAAATTAAAGGGCATAACCTAGTCCTGAATAGTGGTATGGTATTGGAATTAAAGACTAAAGGCTTCCTTTAGTATAATCCATTCCTTTCCCATGAACTGCACATCACTAGCCTAGATAATGGATACTGTAGAGTTATCTTCCTTGCCAATAGAAATATTCTAACTCTCAATTCTACGTACACTTCACAGCACAGTTTTATATAAAGAATTCAGTAGCAGCTTTTAAAGTATCTTACCTGCTTGATACATTCTGAGCCTTAAATATGCCTGCATTTTGGTTTCTTATGATGATGTCCCTTACATCTGTAACATACTTGTTAAGAATTATACATAGAATTAGCATAAAAATAATGATTTAATCAAAAGTACTCCCCCTACCCTAATTTTTAATGTCTTCATAGCTTTTTTTACCTGTTAGGTCTTCCATAATCTGTGTTCATAGTGAGTCTTTTTAGAAGTAATGAATTTATCATGCCACTGCAGAAGTAGTCTGATTTTCTTAGCCAGTAACTCAACAAATGCATCCATGCTGATTATCTATCCTTTTTGTGGGTTGTTTTAAACAAAGGTCTTTACATCCTTATGTATTTTTAAAACTAACTACTAGTTTAAAACAAAAAAAGAAAGAAGCGGCAGCACAACCTCAGTGCCTTTTGGTATATATATTATGGACACAGACCAGTCAGTACAATCAGATGATATGGTTTAGTTCTTTACCTTGTTTTCCTTGAGATGTGCAAGTAGTTCACTGGGCAGACACGTCAGGTGCTCAACGTTTTGAATTCCTCTTGGAAACAGCACGCATGCATTTGGCTCCTGGCTGTGACTATCTGTGTGAAATGTTTCAGAGGAGTAGCCATGTTACTCTGTTTCAGCAAAAACGAGGAGTTCTGTGGTACCTTAAAGACTAATAAGATTATTTGGGGTGACCCTAAACTTCAGACTGCCAGAAGCTGAGAAGGGAAGGCAGAGGTTAATTATGCTATCTGCTCCATTCTGTACACTTATCCTGAAGCTCTGGTACCAGCCACTGTAAGAGACCAGATACCGAGCTAGATAGACCATTGGTCTTGTCCCTTATGGTCATTCTTATGACATGGAAGAAAGTGGAAAAATTCAATCCATGGTACTAAAGAAAGATGCTACTGAAGTTCACATATGCAGTTGGATTTTTCAGTGTAAACTCTTGCATGCAAATTAAATAATGCTATATTTGATCAATTAAAAGTGACTATTTCACTTAGTCACTGTGAAAATGATGAAAAATATCATTATTTAATTTGCATAATTAATCTATCTAAGGCCTGATCTACACTAGGACTTTACATTGAATTTAGCCGCAAATGGTCGATTTTGTAAGTGATGTATCCACACTACCAAACCTGTCATGTCAACCTTAAGGGAAGCTGAAGTTGATTTAAGTGCTCCTACTTTTTACGAGGAGGAACACTATTTCTGATCTTGCATGGTTGAATTTATGGTAGTGTAGATGTAGTGTTGCAAAGAAGTCAAGGCTGTTGGCCTCCAGGAGGCTCCTGCAGTTCCCGGCCTGACTGCTCTGGCCAGAACTTGCACTTCTACTGCTTACCTGATGAGCTCAAAAAGCCAAGGGAAAAGTTGATTGGCATCTCCTACGCGGCCAGCATTGCGAATACATTCAGAATGAGCAACCCACCATGGCACAGGTGGAGATGACCTCAAACAATCCCATCAACAATGAGACAACTTTGAATACTTTTGCTCCCACTGGCTCCAGTTCCCAGGAGCGCAGAAGAGTACCTGTGTGGAGTGTCCAGCAGATCTTGAATCTCATGAGGCATGGGGAGATGACGCCATCCTCTACAAGCTGTAAACCAGCAGAGAAATGCCGACATTTATGGCAAGATTGCAAGCTGCCTGGTGGCTCTCACCGTAGATTTTCCCACTCCAAATTGATTCACCACTGACTGGTAGCTGTCTAGTATGGCAAGCTTCCACAGAGTAATTGCCATGTGCTTCTCCATTGTCAGAGTGGGTCTCAGTCAGATATTTTCATGCCTCAGGGCAGTGAAAAGCCATTCTCAAAGTTCCAGGAATGTGGCCTTCCGCATTCGGAAGTTCTGTAGCCTCTGCTGATCATTCCATGTCTGCATCACGATGTGGTCCGATCAGTCTGAGCTTGTCTCACAGCACCAGAACCTGCATTCCACTGTGTTCAGAGGATTGACTGGTGGCTGCGCTTGCATCAGCACCAGGCCTTGCATGAGCAGTGTATTCAGACTATGCCGATCTTCGTCCTTGTCCTCTTCCTGGAGGAGCAACATGTGTATGCTCTCCAAGTAGGGCACCATTAGGCACCATTAGGTCAATAGTGCACCACACGTCACCATCACAACAGCTTGCTGCACAGTCAGCTCCATGCTCGCGCTGCTATGGCATTTGCATGGGCAACCAGGGTACCAAAAGGCATGAGCACACTGCCTCCCCTTTATCTCATACAAGGGGGAGGGAGTAGATAAGTGCCTTATGGGACACTGATGACATGAGCCCCTAACCACCTACTGCACAGTTTTGGTCTCAGCGGGCACTGTGAGTTTAGCCCAGAATGCAAAGCTTCCCACGGTGCCTTGCTCTCTGAGTCATTGATAGGCTTGCCAATGGGGACATGCTACTTTGGACTACATTCGATTCTTCCCCCAGTAAGGACACGGACCTTCAACTTTGCAAAATTGCGTGGTAAGAAATCAACCATATTACACCAACCTTATCTTGTAGTGTAGACGTGCCCCTAGGATAGTGAATATACAAGAATAGATTTTTTAGAAAAAACTTCTAAGTGACCAATATAGAAGAAAAGACAATGACATTTATTTTGCATAACAGAACAATTTTAAAAAACCTGACTAAAGATTTTTTTAAATTAAACTCCTTGGACTCTGGACAGACTTTCTGAAGTGTCTGTATGGTATTCAATGGAGTCCTATGGGGTACCACAAGTACCTGTACAGCAAAGAAGGGCATGAATAATCTCATAAGCAGAACATGTTATTTTGTTAGGTAACGCAGCTGATAAATTTTATATATATATATATATATATATGTTAGTATTTCACTTTAAAAACAAGTAGCCCTGTGGCACCATAGAGATTAATACAATATATATATATTCATGAGCTTTCGTGGGCAAAACCCACTTCTTCAGATGAGATGATCAATGTTTTTTTCTCATGAAAGCTCATGTTACTATATATATATAATTTGTTAGTCTCTAAGATGCCACTGGACTACTTGTTTTTAAAGTTACAGACTTACACGGCTACTCCTCTGAGATACTTTAAAATTATGTATTTTAAATATACATAGGCTATATCTAGACTACACAGAAGTTTTGAAAGAGGATATGTAAATTCTGATCTCACCTTCAAAAGTGGAGCTTTTGAAAGTTAAAGTAGTTGGGACGCAGTTTTTCGGCAACTCTCCCTCCTTTTTCGAAAAGCCATGTAAACCTCATTTTTTGAGGAAGAGCAGCTTTTCGAAAAAGGGAGGTGAGGGTTGCTGAAAAAAAA